GGTGGGGTGGGCGGGGCGAGGGAGAGGAGCCTATTAGAATACAGCGCCGAGGGCAATTAAACGCGGAACAATAAAGAGGGGGCAAAAGAGCGAGACGGCCTGCTGGGCGGGGCGGCGGCGAGCAGGGATCGAACCAGGAACCCTCGTCTGGCCCGCGTCTTACCCGCGTCTCGCCGTCGACTCACTTTGAGTCAGCACCCTGCTCTACTCGAGTTTATTTACTTTTTGTAAACTACACGCCAAACGACGAAAAGAAACATTAAGATGTAGTACTAAGCAATGGTAGTGCAGTAACCACAATCATGTCTTGTATCAGACCCAGTCAGCCCGTCGCGATTGAGTTGAAAATGCAAGTTGCGCTGACAAGTGTTCAACTCGGTAGGGGTAGGTGTGCACTTGCAAGTGTGCCACTTCTCGGTTGAGCACTTCCTACACAGTGAGCGTTAAATCTACACTTGTAAGTGTACAACTACTGACTTATACACTTGCAAGTATACAACTTGCAGTTGCGCACTTACAAGTTGAGTGGTTGAACACTTAGTTTTACAAGCGGAGGGAGATAAAGGTACGCAAAAAAAAATTACAAAATTTAAACGGAGGTAATGTCTAATTTTGCGCTAGGGGAAAGTTAGGGGAGTTAGAAAAACGTTTAGTCGAGGGGTCCCTCACTTCCAAACTAGGTACAACGAGTCAGCGCGAGTGAGGCAGAAGTTGGGATCAATTTTTTTGATAGTTTCGCGCGATTTTTGAGCGTGTGTTTACGAGTTTTCGCGAGATGGGCGCGAGTTGCGAGTTGCACTGATAAATAAAGTGTTCAACTGCTCAACACTTGCAAGTGTGCAACTGCAAGTTGAATACTTGCAAGAGTTCAACTTCGGTAGGTGTGCACTTGCAAGTGTGCAACTCCTCGGTTGAGAACTTCATGCACAGTGAGCGTTTAATCTACGGAGGTGTTCAACCGAGGATTTGCACATACTTGCAAGTGTACAACGACGGACTTGCACACTTACAAGTGTTGAGCAGTTGAACACTTAGTTTATCAGTGTGGACGCGAAAGTGTACGTGTACAACGAGTTGGCCAGTGGGGAGCGAAACCTCTCGTGTTTAGTGCCCGCAGGAAACATTTTTCTCTTTATCTTGTGGATTCGGCTGTGTCCGAGGCGTTGTCAACCAGGATGCATGCAATAGGGGAGATCGGGGTAAGGGGTAAAAAAAAAGCAGTAATCCACCGCAAACAATTAAAAGAAAGTTTTGAGAATCATAAGCGAAGAATCAACTTTCGCGTCCGAACAACTCGCCATGGGACAACTCGAGCCGAGCCGATCAAATCCAAGCACCGCCGTTGTTTGTGCGGGAGGGCGGTTTAAACAGAGAGAAAAGGGGGGAGGGTAGGGGTAAAGGGGTAGGGGTAGGGATAAGAGGGGGGGCATTTTGATGCTGAGGAAAGTAGTGGCGGCAGAGGGAATAAAACAGGGTACGGGGGGAAAGGAAGAGTCGGAGGAGGGGGGGGGGGGGGGGGGTGGAGAGCGTAGGGAGGAGGAGGTGTGAAAGGGGCGGCAGGCGGCGGCGGCAGGCCAGAGAGGGAGCTTGCATTGTCGGTGATTTCTATGTTAATGCGGCCTGGATACCTCCCGCCCCACCCGCCCTTCCTCCCTCTACTACCGCCATCGCCGTAGGGACTATGGCTACGGGGAGGGGGGGGGGGTGCAGGGCACAGGGCATACGGGGTGTCAGGGATCGAGAAGTCAGAGTGAGAGAGGGGGGGGGATGGGGATGAGGAAGAGGAAGAGGGGGGAGGGGTGGTAGTGATGGTCGCCCTGGATTAGAGCGCACGAGCCGAAGCCAGAATAAATTGCTTCGCGTTTGGTTGATAGCTGAACACCCGACGCGTCCGACCCGACCAGCGGCGCAGCGCGCAGCGGCAGCAGCTCGATCCCCCGGGCCGGGCGCGGCAGTCGGCGTTGTTGGCGACCGGCAGCGGCTTGTTGGGGACCCGCCGCGCACCTCGAGACATTCGCGTATGGCGGTGCACTTTACAGCAGTACACTACGCTGAGAAGAAAAAGGATCCTGAATAAATCCAAGACGTTTTTGTCGCGATAAGAAAGAGAAATTGACGCGTATTTTTGCACAGTGCCAGAACAATTCGACGTAATTTTACAACTGAAACTCACAAGCTTTCGGGAGTTCCACATTTTAACTCTCTCGAAGCCCGTACAAGCTACGCAAAAAACAAGATTAGCTGAGAAATCTAAGCTGGACTCGTGAAAGGTACTAATATCAG